GCCTTCCTTATGATGTGTTTCTTCTCTCGTTTAATGGTAGGTCATTTTAGTGCACTCGGTCAACACGAAGTTAAATCAGCTTCTGTTGTGAGCTGGGTTGGAGAATTGGAAAGAATAGAACAACTTTGCCCTTTTGCTCGTAGCTTTTTATAAATGTTAATAGTCGTTATGATGTCTCTGCTTTTTCTGCATTTAAGGCATCTTCACTGAAGTGTAGTTATTCAAGAGTTAAACGAGTAACTTCAGTGAATTCCTTTTCAGAAGGAATTCTCCATCCATCTCCCATTTTAGCTGTCAGTGTCTGCCACAAAAATACTGCATTACATGACCTGAATAGAAGTAGAAAACTCTCGTTCAAACCCCTCACGCTCCCATTGAAATGGAGGAGACTGTCATATGTTCTGTCGCCAATTTACATACCAAGATTTTTTTGTTTTACACTAAGTGAAAGAGATACTCTATTCCAGACACTTGCTGCCTCTTTGGCAAGATGCATGGTTTGCTTTCCTCAGTCCTCCCTTTCTGCACCCTCAGATCTGACCCGTTTCTCATTCAGTGAGTTCCTCAGAGTTTCTACCTTTGTAGTAGAGTCGCTCACAAGTAATTCTTGCTCTTGGGCTGCTGAAAACGGCGACGTTCTGCCTCCCAGCCTGGCTTTCTAAGGAAAAGATGCTATGCAGGGCTAACATCACATTTGCTTACTGGAATTCCTATGAGTTTTGTGAAAATTGGCATCTCGGTAGATGTTAATTAGCTGCAGCTGAGGAGAAATAATCCTTTTAGCCGTTTGGCTCGTGTGGTGGCTGAAAAGCGATGGCTCACTCCTTGCTCAGGAAGTGAGTACTGGGCTGCCAGTTGGCACATAGGCACCCGGGGCTGTGGCTCCTCCAAAGCTGATTCTTGCCTGGCTGTTAGAGCAGCCGGACACAGGGACGGGGAGAGGACACCGAGCTGTGAAAGTCAGGGAGACAAAGGGAGATGCAATACCTGATGCCAGTAACCTTAGGGATGGATTTCACAGTTATGGGGAAACCCGATGTATCGTTTTTTCCATCCGCAGAACTGCTTGTAACAACTGGGGATTTTTGTTTTCTTGTTCTTTTATGGAAGGGCTGAAAATAAAACTTGCATTGCTACTAATATATCCAGAGATGATATCTGCGTGTCATTTCTTCAACCAAAAGGCATAATAAAAATGCTTTCTGAACTGAACTCTGGTCCTATAAAAATGCCCCGTTAATCCTGTAGAGTGATGTCATTCCCACAGATTTGCTTTGTAAGTGAGAAATGCTCAAGGAATCGGGCTGGTGTCTGCCTGGGTGGCTGAAGGTTTTTATTCTAAGCAGTTACTTACTGATCACCCACTAGAGGGCTTAACTTCATTGGGGAAGTGTAACTACTGTGATGTTTGAAGGCGTAAGGAGAAAAATCTGTTCATGCAAACGTTTCCTTTCCTGATCTCCTGATTCTGCAGGGATGGCAATCAAGCTCTTGTCATTGAGCATCCTGCCAGAGGATGCTGCCCAGAGACACACTTCCACAGAGAAATAGTAACAGTTTGATCTTCAAGCCCTCAGTGAGTTTTTGAGCAGCTGGTTCTTAGAAGAGAAGAAATGCCTCTAACCTCGTATCCTCCAGCTCTTTCTTTAGTTTCACTGATGATAATCCTCAGGAACATCAGGTGTGCACATCAAAATGTGCCCTCACTTGAATTCTTTGTTGACAGTACCAGTTCAGTGAAGGCTGGAGTGTGAGCTATAGAAAGTACTATATTTTGGTAATGATGCCAGAGGATCCAATTCCAAGCTTGTACCTGTGGCACTGCAGGCCGCTTTCTCATCCATAGTTTGTCATCCTGATAAACTGTGTGACTTGTGCATAAAATTAGGTCCTCTCAAATGTTATGTTGGAAAATTTGGGGCAAAATAATTCTGACTGTAATATACAAATATACTAACATTGAAATCTTTATTTTTAAAGAAAAATCTGTAACTTAAAAATGTAACACCAGCATTTTTAAAATATGGACTGGTGTGTTCTGTATTGTGTTTTTTCTTTTCACAAGTGATTATTTTCTAATGCATTTTTTTCCTTGCACTTTTTTTTCACAATTCCCAATCTGTGAGTATTCTACTGCTTGTGTAGATAATGTGTCTCATTGCCTTGATCTTATCTGATTCAATTTTTTTTTAATATCTTTGTTATTACTGTCCTCTGAGGTACAGTTCCAGTGTACTTGGCTGAATAATTCTTTTTCCTTATTAGCTAATATTCTTCATGTGCCTGGGACTGCGCTGTTTTCTACCCTATCTTGAGCAGAGATATCCAGACTTAATGAAACCTGTTGCTCTAACTCATGCAAAGTTCCTTTGCAGATGATGATGCTTGGCCTACTTTTTAAATATTAGAAGTTAAACAACTGTGAAATACTAACATGCAATAAATATTCACTCAACTCCTCAACTTTGCTGTAGAATAATTGAAAAAAAAGAAAGGCTATTTTTGATAGTTTGTGTTAAACCAAAAGAGTTCATTTATATTAATGGAAAGATTTATTTGTGATGCTACATATGAAGCATGGTGTGAAATGTGGCCTTGAGGAAGGGAAGAACCCAGATCAGATTTCTTAGAAGACTTTGAAATAGTTTCTAAACCGCATTTACCTTGAAAGTAAGATAACCCAGAGACTGGTAATGGTATTTGGAAGCTCTAACGCTCGGGTTCATCTCAGCTTGGGAGCAACCTGAGACATTGTCCTCTAAGAGTAGATTTATGAGAGGGTGAAATGTTGATTATCCTCTGTCACCTCCTACAAGGTAAGTGCCTACATCTTGTTCACAGTCTGTGAGTATGACTAGATGACTGTGTCAGTTTGGATCAGCAACTCACTTCTTTTGCTTCTGCTTGCAGTCTGGAGAGGTTTTGGACCATGTGGAGGAGATGAAATTAAGCTGGGAGATGCAGCCCAGCTGCAGATAAGCAGTCAGCCCATGGGACCAGCCTGGAGCTAGTCAGAAGTAAAAACAAAGCCAAAACCTCTTGAAATGCCAATTGTGTGACTGTCAGCTTCTCAGATCCAACAATAACAAAAATAATTCTTCAGAAATACTCCAAACACAGTGTAGCGTTATAACATGTATCAGTTTGCAGTAAATATCCTTGGGCTGCTCATGGTCCCGAACCTGCATGAGTACCATCAGCTGCTGTGGGGACACAGGGTTTTGTCTTTGTTGTTGGAGAGGTTGAGGGTTTTCCTTTGCTGACTTCTCTAGTCCAGCTGAGGAGTGGGAAAGAAAAAGGGCTAGAAGAAATCTATCCTCGTGGGCTAGATGAGGGGGCAGGGAGGTGGATTGAGTCCTGGCTGTGTGACAGAACTCAGAGGGATGTCATTAATGGAGCGGGGTCAAGTTGCAGTCCTGTAACCAGCAGCATCATCCAGGGGTCAATACTCGGCCCAGTCCTGTTCAACATATTTATCAATGACCTGGACGAGGGGACAGAGTGTATCCTCAGCAAGTTCGCTGATGATACCAAACTGGGAGGGTTGGTCGACACTCCAGAGGGCTGTGCTGCCATCCAGCGTGACCTGGACAGGCTGGAGAGCTGGGCAGAGAAGAACCTCATGAAGTTCAACAAGGGCAAATGTAAAGTCCTGCACCTGGGGAGAAGAACCCCAGGCACCAATATAGGTTAGGGGTGGATCTTCTGGAAACTACTACTGAGGAGAAGGATCTGGGAGTCCTGGTGGATGGCAGTCTCTCCATGAGCCAGCAATGTGCTCTTGTTGCCAAGAGTGCCAATGGAATCCTAGGCTGCATAAGGAGGAGTGTGGCCAGTAGGTCGAGGGAGGTTGTTCTCCCCCTCTACTCTGTACTGGTGAGGCCACAACTGGAATACTGTGTCCAGTTCTGGGCTCCCTAGTTCAAGAGGGACAGGGAACTACTGGGAGAGTCCAATGTAGGGCAACTAAGATGATTAAGGGATTAGAGCACCTCCCTTAGGAGAAAAGGTTCAAAGAGCTGGGGCTCTTTAACCTCGAGAAGAGAAGACTGAGGGGAGACACAGTAAAATGAGCAGTAGCTGTTTCAATTACTATTATATGTATCTTTAAAACTGCACTTTTAAACGGCTGTATTAATGTTAGGGTGAAGCAGGTAAGATATTTCTATTTTAAAATAAGATCATTCTTAATTTTGTTGAAATTATATTTTTATATTTTAATGAACATTAGAAACAAACCCCATTGGCCCTATTGACATCTTTCTCCTTTTTTCTAATATGAAATTTTCATAACATGTTTTATTAGAAATGACATATAATTATCCTCTAGGAAGCTTTCTTTTGTGGTATAAACAAACTATACACAAAAATGTGTCTAAAATATTCTTAAAAATCCAGGTGTATTATTTAATGGAAGTTCAAGTCTCTCCTTCTAGAACAGATAAGGAAAATTAATATGTTAATCTCCAAAACCATCTGGTTATAATTTATACAGTAGCATCATTGCAGGGTCTTGCAAAAGTATTTCACTGTAATGAGCAATAAAGAGCAGCACTCAGCACAAGCCTCAAAGCGCACAAAGGTGTGTGGCGACTGAAGGAACTCTCAAACTGTCATGACAGGGCAACATTTCTATGTCATTGTCTGCTACGTTATAAAGGGTCGATTCAATTCAACAGAGGAGTAATACTTGCAGGTCTAGTGAAAGTGTAACTAATACAGACTCTGCTGAGGAGTTACCATGCATTGCTAATGAGAGACATGCAGCCAGACAGTTGTATGCAAGACTTGCAAAGCTCCTGATGCTGTATGTAGCTACCAAGCTTGATGTCTCCTTTGCTTTTCCTTTTTTGCATTGCATTATTTTAAATAATGCATCCAACTATCTAACTGTAGAAATACATAGTTCTAAGATGCCATCGTAACCAAAGCCATTTATTTGGATAAGTTTCTTATTACTAAGTTATACTGAAATGAACATTGTGGGAAAGCTCAGTTTAATGATACCGTGGAGTATATTCTTGCTTCATTCATTGCTCTCCTCTTTGCAAGGTAAGAAATTTATTTCATTTTTGTAGTAATACTAACTTTAAAAAAGATTTTTTCTAAGTATTTTAATATTGCAGCTCCTTCATTTTATATCATTAAATAGCAATTTTTTTAACCCCTGCTGGAATTCATAAATCAAAAAGGTTTTTAAACACAGCTTAAAAAACTATATATCATCATTCTGTCTTACAGGTGTAGAAACTTAAATATAGCTTTTACATATATTGCTTTAAAAATATACATTTGTATATCTGAATTTGTTACAAAACAATTATTTAGGAATGAAATTTAAGTTTCTTGGCTTTCTTACCATTATTGCCAGATAAGTAAGTGTCTAATGATTTTAAGTGGGGTATGATTCTGTTTGAACAGACTGCATCTGCAGTTTGTTTACACATTTGTAGAATGCTAGGGTAATTAATCATTCTTCTGGTTATAGAAATGATCCTTTTTTCTATATAATGCAAATGGATCTTGTAGATAGTCTTCTTGCAGCAATTACGAAGATTTCTGAGGCAATCTGAGAAATAAGGGGTTTTTTTTTGTTTGTTTGTTTGTTTGTTTTTTTAAAGCATGGACTCTAGAGTATTTTAAATTATTTACAACTGAGTCTTACAAGTAACATTCAGAAAATGATTGTAGGTAACCACCCTAGAAGTTTGACTCTGGAAAGCACTGAGCAACCTTTGTATTTTACCAGTTTTGTTCTGAGCCTCTGAAGAGCTATGAACCCTTTGCTCTTTTTCATGGTATCATGTACCAGAACTGAGACCATGGAAACTTGCAGGCGATGAGTACTTGTGAGAATCAAAGTCTCAGGAAAGAAAGCATGTAGTGCCACATCCCTTGGAAACAGAACAAGTTTATATAAAAATGCTCTGGAAAACTTAAGATCATTAAAGAACAAAATTCAATAGTGTTTAACTTGACAAACTGTTTGCCAAGTGCAGAGTGAGGTTATAGAAAAAACATTTAACTTGATGACTTCTTCATCTACAGGATCTTATTGCAAGCTTTCTCTTTTGAGAAGAACTTCAAGGTAAGATTTTATTCCTTATTTGTCAAGTCCTGCAGACAGAACAGGAATGAATAAGCATGACGCAGTGCAAGTTAGAAAGTAAAATATAGCCTTGAATTCTCCGTGTAAATGTCATATACATGTACATTGGATGTATAATATTTTCAGAATGTTTACAACTGTTTTCAAAGAGTTAACATAAAGGGCATGGGTCCTCTTTTTGAAAAATGGAGGTCCTTATGAAAAATGATACTTCTATGGCTTTGAGAAAGCTTAGAGGAATAATGGAATGAAACCAGGATGAGATCATGATTTCATGACTGGAAAAATACATTAAATGATTACCCTTCTACAGTTTTAATTACATGATAAAATCCTAGTTGCTATTTGAAGCACAGAAAAGTAAGCGCTATACAGTCTTAAAATAAACATTTTCAATACAAGTTTTTATGTAGGAGCTGAAATCCAAACAAAACCTAAACTAGGGAATGTTCCTGATCCCATTGAATTAAATGGGAACTATGTCATCAATTTCAATGGAAGCATCCAGTCGGATGTAGCTTTGGATGTCTAATGACCTCTAATACATCTGGCAAACACACATGCATGTCAAATGATATGCCATCTTGGACTGTTGATAAAAGTAAGTATGTTTTATAGTTTGATGCCCTTGTTTCTAAACTTAATCACAAATTTAAGGCAGCTACAGCTGGAGAGTCATCTCTTGCTATTAAGAGTGCCATCACAGAATATCCAAATAACACCTGGGGGAACTCACAGCCACTCACCCGCAACATCAAGTAAATGTGAAGCTGCTTTACAATTTTGTATCCTGTCATCTGAGCTTATTTTGCCTATTTGCGTCTTCCCCACGAGCTCCAAGTACCTCCCTGACCAAGCAGAGATCGGAGTGATGCCCAATTCTGTAAAATGAGACCACAAAAAGAAAAAAAAAGAAAAAAAAAGAAAAAAAAAGAAAAAAAAAGAAAAAAAAAGAAAAAAAAAGAAAAAAAAAGAAAAAAGATCACCTTTTTAAATGTTAACCCAAGAAAGACCTCTTTGATAAAGTGATGGTAATCAGAGAGAAACACTTCTCTCCGGGGAGCTGCTTATTCAGGTTGCTCCAGAGACCTTTGATTATACAAGATCCTTTTTGTTTTCTTCCAGAAATGAGTTTAATGCAACTCGACAGAAAAGAGATCTTGTAACAGCCGAGGTAGGTAATACCTCCAAAAATGGGAGGGAGGGGAAACCCTCCCCTCTTTTCTGCTCTGGGCATTTGCTGTCCTTACAAAGGAGCCTTTGTGGGGAGAAGGGCCGCAATAACAGGAGGACATTGAGGAGGAGCAGCGATTCCCTACTTGCTCGGCCCCCGTCTCAGCCCGTGGCCTCGTGCCTTCATTCACCCTCAGCAAAGCCCTGGTGGGTGACCCACCCTGAGGAGCCGACTGACGCACACCATGGGAAATAAAACCTCGACGCCTCCGTCTTTTGTGAGGGCGAACAAAGCGCCCTGGAAAGCCGTTAGTGTTTGGTGAGAGGCACAATGGCGGCACCGCCTTCAGGGCTCCCTCCTGCACGTGGTGCTGTGGTGACACTGGTTCCCACCGCCCCAGCCCACCACTGCCTCAAATTTAGGAGTAAAGGGGAGAATCTGGTTCCCCCACTGGTACACGCATCAGGCTACAGAGCTCTAGCAAGGGTTATAACCCTGTTCAATGGGGGCAGGCAGAAAACCCAAGGCAGTCCCTCCTCACGGCCTTGTGGGGAGCCTGGAGCCCAGCCATGAATGATTTTCTCTGAGTCCCTTCGAGACCTACATGTCTCCTGACTGAGTTGGGAGGTAGCTGGTGTGAAACGCTGTGCTCAGGTGAATGGAGCCTCTGAGGGAAGCAGGCCTGTGGGGCGGATGGTGTCCCTGGAGGGCCTTCAGCAGGAAAATGCTGTTGCAACAGGGGTGCTCTACCTCCCCAAAATAACTCAAAGGTGAAAAGCTGCTTTCCTGAGGAGGATATCTCAGAGTAACGGAAAATGTGGAATAGAAATCAGTCTTCTTGTGCCTGGAGAGAAAAGATCCTTTCTGGCTAGTGATGGGCCATGGGGACCAGGAATAGTTTTAGTGCAGGGGCCTTCCAGGTGGTGATTTGATGAAGTCCATTTTGGGTTGACTTTAGACAGATTGTGCTACTTGGATGCATCCCACAAAGTATTTCCAGTTGGAAAAGGCAAGTTTTTATGTCGCTGTATGAGGCATTAGTGAGAGTTACTCTAACCTGTTCCTTGAGATCCATTAGTTCAGACTTCAGACATGGTGAATGACTGGCAGCAGCAGAGAAGAAAGACTTAGTTTACAGGGGAAGACTTAGACAATTTGCTTTGTTTAGTTGTGCAGTTGAAGGCTGGTGTATGCGTCAGTGAGGAGCATAGGATAACTGTTTTCTCATAGCACATCAGAGAGGGAATAAACCACAGGGAAGAAGAGCTATTTAAGCAAAAGGGCCAAACTTTATAAATGCAAAGGATTTAAACTGGCCATGAAAAAGTGTAAGATGGAAATATCTAACTACCCAGCACTTCACCCTGGTAAACTTTCAGACTAGTTTAGACTGATCAGACTAGTGGGGGCAAAAACCCTGGAGTGCTTTCAGCCTGGAATGGGATCAGTTCTTGGAAGGGACAATGAGACGTGACAAACTGCAGTAGCAGAGCGCTGGGTCAGATCCAGGGCTTCCTTATAGTCCGATGCTCCCTGATTCCTTAACGAGACAGGAAGCAGATCAGGCAGATATGCCTCCTCTGTTGTTTGGGATGAACCAAAAGGCAATTAGGAAGGATCTCAAGGAGGACTTGAAATCCATCGCAGCTGGAGTGGCCACAACAGGATGATCAGGGTTCGTGCACAGAGCATGAGTTAGGGGAGAGGCACAAATGGAAGGATATCCCATCTCTGAGGTCTCCAACTGTTGGTATTTGACCAAATTGAAAAGGACAGGAGTGTTTTCTGTTCCCTCACTCTTCCTCCCAAATGTAAATGCAAAGCTCCCCTGGTGGAGTTCCACTCATTCATTGGCACTAGCTAATGGTGATGTCATGGTGGATCTATATCTTTCCCCATTCTTCTGAGAGCTGTGCTTCCCCTTCCCATGGTGTTGGCTGCCATGGTCACTGCCTTCCCTGCTGTCCCAGGCTGCTGATCCCTTCTGCAGCGCCCATGGCTTTGCCATATGCTGGCCAAGCTGCAAGTTTCTCTTCTGTATAAAAATAATCCTCAAAGTCCTAACCCAGCATTAGGCTGCAATGCCTCAGGCTCATATCAACTCATTTGTAAAGCACAAACACCCAATTTTGCTTTTATGTTTCTTTGTCAGATTCGATCTGCCTCTCCTCGCTCGCACCTTCATGGGGCCTTGACGCGGAGTCTGCCAGGAGGTCAGTACTCTGCTCCTCACACAAGGGAAGAGTGATGCTCCTGAAGATGCTCCCTTCCTACCAGCTCTCCCATGTTACCCTGCATTGTGAAAGCCCTCCTTATTATGTCCCCTACAAAACTATTTTTTCTGTTTTTATCCATGTTAAATCAGGGAAAATTCCTGTTAAAATTATACTTTCAAAATAATGCCTTACAACCAAATCTGAACAGCTAACTAAGGTAATGCTTTGTTTGTTGTTCTTTTTTTTTTTTTAAAGTTTAGTTCCATTGCAATTTTCCTTTTCTGCCACTTTTTCTGGTCTTGGCAGAGGATGTAAGTATACGAGAGGTGCGTTGGTTATGTGAAGGGATAGCGGTGCTCAGGCAATGAGCGCGCAGCTGCCTCTGGAGGGTTTTAGGCATTGTACAAACATGTGAAGCAGGTCCAAGTTACAGAAGTTGTTTGGCAGAGAAGTTCATTGTATGCAACTGAACTTTGGTATCCTTCTTGGAAAATACGTAAGCCTGGGTAGGTGCTTTCTGTTGTGTTTTTCCATGTAAATGTATTATGTAATTTTACAGCTCGCAATTCTAACAGCAACAAAGACATTTTCCACATTAGTGCTGTTCTATAAACAGTATTTTCTGCCTTATCAGTATTTTCAGAGTATCTGCATATATTTGGAAAGCAATTCTTAAATTGGAAAAATTCGAAACTAAGCAGTGAAAGGAGTTTTCACAGTGAAGGCTGATGTTCTGAATAGTTGGTAACTTCTGTGTGTGCTTTACTGTAAAGGTCCCAGTCTGTTCCCATTTAATGCAACTAGCAGTTTTACCGTGGCTTCACTAGGAGTGTAAGGCCCCGTTTATTTAATTTACTTCCTGCTTTTTGCAATGCTTTTTTAATCTCCATCAGCAGGACTGCAAGTGTTTGTATCTAGAGTAATCCTCCCCGGAGAAGGAAAGCAACCATCTGCAAAACCTGATGAAATTTTGCCTTATGACTACCTTTCTTCTCCACTTTTGGGGAACTATGATTTAGACCCACCTCGGTGAATGGTTAGTAGATGACAGTGAGGTGTTAGCTTCCCAACAGACTATAAAACCCTTTAATGAAACTGCTTTTTGGAAACAATTACTATTTATAACATAAAACAAACCATTCCCATGGAATCTCAAGTCTCTGACTCCAGTCACTTCTTAAGCAGAAATAACCTTTTAACAGACTTTTTTTTTTTTTGCATGGGGGGAAGGTTATTTATAATTGGGTTTGACTTTGTAAATTATGTATTCTGGACTGCTCATAAGCTGATTGTACCCTTTGCTGCAGTGCTTAAGAGGGAGGAGCTGAACATATATATAAATTGTGCTGAATTTGGTCAATTAGAATAATCTGTGTCCTGTGTATTTCCAGATCAGCAGGACTGGGATTTGGTTTCTTTACATGGGAACTTGACCTTTTGTTTGCTGGGAGGAGGTTGACCTTTTGCTCCTTTGTTAGTTTACAAGTCTCAAACCAAAAGAGAGAACCTTGCTTCTCTTTTAACCGTGGAACACAAAGGATAAAATTAAGTAAATGTTAAAAACTGGAGATTGTTGTTGATCAATTTTCTTAGCTAATATAGCTGCTTATGATTTAACGATAAAGATATTTAATATGGATCTCTCAGCCTGTTTACAAAATACTGTATCTACTATAAGTATCTAGTTAATACTATGTACTAATGCTTGCTTACAGGTTCGTGTCCTCAAGAGTGTCTTAATGGAGCAGCCTGCACAGAGGCAGGTGACTGTGACTGTCAGTTATTTCAGGCTCAAGGAAGCAGGTGCCAAATTGGTAAGTTTTGGGACAAAAGAGTTAAGTTTCCTCTTCAAGCAAGATTAAAGGTACAGTTTTTTTAAAAAAATACTGTTAACAGCACATTTGTGATACCTCAGTAGCAGGACTGTCATTCTACTAGTGGCTAAGAGGATTAAAATGATACGCGTTAGGATATATATAGAGCAACATCAGGAATGCCTACATTTTAGCACTTGGGCTGCAATGATACATAGATACCATAACAGCTAGATCACTGTCTAGTATATCAGTAGCTAGCCAGCTTCTTTATAGTTAGATGAACAACGAGAAAGTCACTGAATTTTTCTAACAGTGACTTATTGCAAATAAAATTACCAACTATTTCAATGCACTGGTTTCTCTTCCCTCTACTTATAATTAAAATGTCTCCACTGAAGCAAACAAAAACTTAAAATGATCAAGTGACTAAAACTGCAGCCTAAAGATTAAAAAAAAGGCATCGACTTTATTTAAAGCTGAAAAAAATGAGGTTATCTTTTGCTCCTGCTGTATATTTCCTTTATAAGCTCATATTTCCTTTTTGAGCTCTTACTTTTGTAGATGTCTGTGATGCCTGTCAATTTTTGGTTACTGTACTTCTTGTAAACTCAGTGTGTTCTCTCTAGTACCTAACACTGGTAAGGACCGAGATGGGATTTGCAAATCATGGGGACAGTATAATTTTGAAACATTTGATGGCATCTACTACTACTTCCCAGGAAATTGCTCCTATATTTTTGCAAAAGACTGCAATAATCCAGAACCCCAGTACACTGTTTGGGTAAGTATGTGAGCGTTATGCTAGAAATAACACACTGACTATTCCTGTATTACAGGACTTATTTTTCATCGTAAGTAAAATAAGTAGAGAGACAATAAATGGATGAAACCGTTGCATTGCTTACTTAAATATAAAACTATGCTGCTGGAAAATGTCTAAGCCTATGTGCAGTAACTCAAACCACTGATGAAATGATAATCAACAGAGCCAGTATATTAAAAATAGTATTTCTTACTCCTCCTATCCTAAAAAGGATCTCTGATCTCTCCTTTCTGGGAACAAAAGTGGGTGTTAAAGCAGACCTTGGAAAACTCAATAAACTTTAGCTGTGAGACTGTAAAACAATTGAGTTGCTGCATAAAGTGCAAACAGCTATCACCTGCCTGATAGCTTGGCACCCCAATGTATTGCACCCCGATTCACAGCCATCAGCATGCTATGGGGAGCTGCCTCCCTGGCCCATGGAAAACCCTGCCCCCTCTGGCAATTTGTGTTCTAATTTTGGATTACCTCTACATCATGCAGGAAAGATTAAGAGCTCAAAAGCCATCATCTTGACCTATGTATGGAAGGCACTCTTTTTGGTAATTTCCTCAAATTGCTGAGTATCCGTAGTTAATGACTTTGGGTCAGGGAGAGTTCAAAGCTATACTCTCTTTGAAGGAAGCTGCCCGATGTATCAGGCTGTTGGTTACTGTGGGAGAGGATCTGAGCTCTTTATGTTACTTTTTACCATTTGGTAAAAAGCCATTTGGTGCTGATTGGGCAAGGGAGAGGGGACAAGCAGGCTCCTAATTCTGAGCCCTGGTAGTCACAGTACTCACTGGAGCAAAGGCAGACCTAGAGCTGATTTCTGCTCCAAGGACTAGTTTTCATTTATAAACACATGATCTCTGCTCGTCCCAGATAATAGCATCTTGTGAAGACAAATCTGCCATTAAAACTACCATTTCTATTAACCCAGGTTATAGACAGGTGCTGTTATATGTCTTCCACTATTTTATTTTAATTCTTTGTATTCTGTGTGCACCTATGACCTTTTAGGATTTTTCAGAAAATGCTGTATCAAAGCCCAAAATTATATTAAAATCTAGACTCAACATTTCAGTGGATCCTAGTTCCTCTCAAAAGAGAGAAGTTACCATTCAATTGCTGGAACAAATTGTTAAAAACTGAAAATGTTTACTCAGAAAAGTCATAAGTAATGTTGAAGCACTGCAGTTGCTACAGACTGGGCAATGGAGACCCTAAACCTTGCCAAATCCTCACATTATGGTCCTTCTGGATTTAATAATCCATTTCTCTAGAGGAGAAGAAAACACAAGAATTATTTTGATTTGCCTTGATTGTGTTTCTGTATTGGGCCAGGTTTACATAGAAACCATCTGTCAATATTAGTAACATTTATGATATATTTATTTGTGATTTTCTTTATACAAGTAAAAACTTTAATGCTTTTCCTGGTTTATTTCACTCAAAGAAACAGTAACTGGTTTTCACTTCCAGGATTAAGTGTCAGTTTAGGAAGATTAATCTGAGTATGTGTTAGCACTGTATGTGTTTACCAACAGATTTCAACAAAAATGATGGTTCCAGTTACTTTACAGCCTCCATTACTATGTTGGCAAAGTATTTCCCAGTTACTAATCTGTCTAGCTTCAGAACGCTGTCAAACGAACTGGTAGCACAACTCCCATCTTTCTCAGGGAATGGTGATTGGCGCAGTCATAGAAGTCATATTTGAGCTATCTAAACTCTGTATACATTTTAATGTAGGTAATGATAGGTATCTAAGAATCATAATGCATTCCCCTGTCTCTTCAGTGTCTAAAATCAGTTTACATGCTTTTGAAGCACTGTAATGTAGGGCATCCCACGGGTTTGGGTGGCTCAGCCCCACCGAGGTTAATGAAAGCTGTTGGAGTTTTGCTTAAGCTCTTGGAGCAGGTATGTGCTTAAAACTCACTTAGACTACGTGTGTGTAATTCAAAACTGAGTAGTAGTTTATTGGTTAGAGCATATGCACAGAAAGTTGGAGACAGATATGTGCCTATCGTTAGGCAGAGTAAATCTGAATGCACGGTTTTCATGTTTTGAGAGCATGCCTTGGCCAAAGAAAGCTGTGTGGTATCCGGGGACAAAGGCCTTCCTGCAGAAGTCATGCTCTACCATGCCAAAGGCTGGGAATACAAATGAAGTCCGATTTTAAGGGTAGCCTCCTTTTTGCCAAACTATAAAAAGGAGGAATGCTGGTTTATTATGCCTGTTGGAAGGTCTCATTACACATTTTTTATGAGAGATCTACTTCACTACTATAAAACCATAGACATACTGAGACAGGAGTTGCATGGCTTTCATTTCTGAAAGCACGCATCTGAGATCTGTTTAACATCTCTCTCTAGTAGTGGGCAGTCATGAAAGTCACACATTGTCAATATCTGAGACATGCAGTTTTTCAAGTCTCTCTCTGGCTGACTGAAACTTTTATTTCCATTGCTTTTTTCAAACTAGGGAAGTTGATAACATGATTCAAACCAATATGCTGGCTTGCTATGCTATATATATATAATGGGGAGAAGCAGACTTCAGAAAACCTGCCCTTCTCCACCAGCAGGGCTGGAAAACCAGCACAAAATGGATTTTAGCAGAGGCACATCACTTAGACACCTGTGGTAATCTGTGGGAGCGCCCCAGGATCTGAACAAATCCTGAGTTGTTCAGGAAGGCATGTTGTAGTTCAGCTGGTGCCAGTCTCACCTGACATGGAGAACTCTGAGGTTTTGTATGGGTTTGTAGTTCCCTCTTGTAGGTCAGACCTCTAGAAACAGAGCAATAGGGATGTCTCCTCAGGGCAAATAACAAGCTCCTTCATTGGCAGTTATAAATTAGGTCTCTGAAGTCCATCTACATAAAATACCTGAGTATTTCACCTTGTATTTAAACCACTGTCTTATGACGCTTTGTGCTATTAAACAGTTGCTGTATTTCTTGTTAGTATTGGGTAGCATGAACTTTGAGTTTTGCATATCTTTCTGTGAATTTTTGTATTCTAAGTATTATTTGTAAATATCTTTTAGTGATTGGTGCATAGAAATGTAAAATATCATAAGAGTTTATGAAAAATTGCATGAAATTATTGATAACAAACATGTATTCCTTTTGTATGTATATTTTTCCCCTCTAAGGTTCATAACAGTCCTCACTGTTACGGTTCAGTATATACTTGTCAGAGGTCTGTCAGCTTATTTTTTTCAAACCAAGAAGAAATAATTATTTCAGGACGTGAAGTAAGAAAAGAAGGAACCAGGTAAATGTTTTAATGATGGGTTTTAACATTTTATTGCCAAGTGTTCTTGCCATCCCCTTTGATGTAGTGTTATAGCCATTAGCATCTGACAGCTGCAGTGATACTGGTCATCCCAACAGAAGCAACTTTCGAAGGTGAGACTTAGATCCATGCTGCAATATTATTGTCCCATTGTCTTTGACCAAAGGAGGAAGATACACGGTATTTTGGTCCATAATATTTTTCTATAGTGTAAGTTCCTTCATTTGCAGATATCTAGCTCAGTGAGAACACTGTGCCCAGAAGGGCTGCTGGTGGTCATAGTGTCACTTAACCCCTTGTGCAATGCAGCATGCTCTTGATGTCATGTATTCCTTGACGTGTGCGTGCTGGACTTTGAAAATGAAGATGCATTATACTTTCAGGCTTTTAATTGGTAGAACTGACAGGTGTATACAGCAGAAAAGCATTCATTTTTGACGGTTGATACAGAGGAGTAATAAGAAGAAAAGATAATAAAAGCATGATGAAGAATTGAATGGAAGTGACTGTATACATGTGGGGAAAAAGGGCTCAGTGAGTTAGAAAGTGATATTTTATGTGGTGTTTTTCTAGCACTAACCGCATCTCATCTGAGATCTTTGAAGCAGGCTGGTTTTTTTTTTCCAGATTATTGTTGCCTCAGACAATTGGGAATGCTTTTGTTGAGAGACTGGCTGACTATATTCTGGTGAAGACTACCTTTGGTTTTTCTCTTGCTTGGGATGGAAACTCTGGTATTTATATTAAGCTGACAGAAGATCATAAGGGAAAACCTTGTGGCCTCTGTGGAAATTTTAATGGCAATAAATATGATGACCTGATACTGCAAAATAGTAAGTAAAAAGCTTAGAAATACACCCTTACCTTGTGTCAACAGCTTCCCTGATCACTTTAAATATATTACAGTAAAAAGAGAGTCCTGTTTCAGTTATTTTGGCGGAAAATAGAATATATGAGGTAGTCTTCCTCATCATTAAAGATGCTATGGGAGAAGTCCCACTTCAGGACAGTATTTATATGTAATTTTAAGCCTTTTCTTGCTCAACAAAGCACTTGAGGTATGTTTATCTTAGCTGGTGAAAGTGCCTTCAAATAACAAATAAATAAACAAATGCTTGTGGTTTTCTCTATGTTTAAGGATGGAGGGAGAAGGAGAGAAGAACCAAAATATTAATATTTGGAAAAAGCACAATCTCGAGTTAGCAATTTATATGAGTATCATAAAAATGCTAGTTGAAATATGTAAATCTCAAAGCTGTTGCCAGGGGATTCCTTGTATTTCTTTGTTGGTATGGTGTATGGTGTTGGTATGGTGTATTATGGGCCTCTGACCACCTTGTAGAATGAGGAGTAGCCCAGTGCTGAGTCTGAGGCAGAGATTACTTGCTAAACCAGTAGAATATTCTGCAGTCTATGTACGGAATACTCCATAGGGACTTTTGTCCTACTTGCAACTAGTGTGAAAACAATACCTGAAAAGCCAAACAAGCTTCAGAATACGAGGAGTACTTTTCTCATTGTCTGATAAAAACAAAGATGGGACTTTTATTGTCACCATTAATTGCCAAGGGAAGCTAGTCCCACAGCCCTGCATATTCTTAACTCAGAAAAGTTTTCTCACTGTAACATTTTTCCCCCCCTCTGTTTTTCTCCATTTTTTTTATGATTGATAGCAGAGATTTTTTACTTTCTAAGTGAGGGAAGACACAGTGTACCTATCTTTGTATAGTCTTTAAAAATCTGCCCGATACAAATTTCTCAGACCTCTTCTGCCATGAAAGCAGTAATTTCCCTGTTCCATGCATTAACTTCTGCACACCAGATTGTAGTATGTGCAACCGGTGGTCTCTAATAATGGAGAAAAATGGAGTTTGGAGGAAATAATGAATTCATGCGATCTCTAAGAAATAGTGATTTCAGTATCTTTAAATGTATTATCTGTTATAAAAGGCTTCCAACTCCTACCTTTCTTATTTTCAGAGCAACATTTCCTCACCATCATAATTTATTCTGGCATTTTTCTTTATCAGAAATGATAGCATTATTTTAGTGTACAATCAAGGGCGCTATGAATCATTTTAACATTGAACCAGTTGTATAACATGGTGCCTTGATTCTGTGAAAGTACAAAGCACGAAGTTCTGATGTCTTCACAAGAATAGACTGCTAAATCAAATTACTTCTAAGCCACAACATTTTTCTAAGTGTTTCCAAATCTTATAAATTATCTGGCATGATGATATTTCCCCCCCTGCTAAACTACTTCCCCAGTAGTATAAGGGAAGCTCTCATATCTATCCTGGTTCTTCTAGAGTCTGAATGCTCTCTATATGCAATGTCCCAAATTATTAAGTTGCTGAGAGGCGTTTAATACCCCATTTGAAAGCGCAGTTAAAAAACAAACTCCATTTCTCTTTCCTTATCGTCACCTTCAATGGCATCTTTGTATTGCTTTAATATACATGTATCTGTGTATAGAACTGTTTCAAGGACAGTGGTTCTATTTTGTGGCATTTTTTGAGGATTAGAACATTTTTCAAGATGTTAGAATATTAATAAAATATTTTTAATGTTTTTGCAGAAGCAGAGTTATGCCAACAGGTGTACCTCTAGATCAGACCCCAGCTTTTTATATTTGGGAAGGGTTTTCTGCATAAAGAACTATTCTGTCAGAGAGGGAGAAATGTTTTAAATCTCCCAGGCTCTTAAATGAAATAGACTGGTGGTTAGGATCTTATCTTTGTTTATTTGTGGAGATCCAAGTACAAATATCTGATCAGTGTGCTTTGGGGCTTTCCACATTGCAAAGTGTCAAACTTTGTACATCTTGTGCTGGAAAAAGTTAGATTAAGTTTTGGATAGTATAACTCTGTGAAAAAAACTGTAGCTGATTTCATTTCAATACCCTATCTCCTAACCCTGCACAGATATAGACAACCGTAGCATACATAATAATTACTTTAAGGTTCTTCAAGGTGGAGGCAATACACTCTTTTTAACGTACTTAATAACATAGAGAAAATGTAGTATTTTGTTCTTGCTGCAAAAATATGGAAATTTTGGCTCTTTTCCTTTACTGCCAGCCTTCTTGTATGTTCGTGTATCTTCCTCAGCCTGTTGCCATGACTTCCAGTCATGCATCTTCTTCATTAATTCTCCCATGCTGTGGCTGTGAGGAGAACTGAGCATGTAGTGGTGTGTTTGTTGTAGGGCTTTTCTGCAGCAAGGGAAAAGGATAATAGTGCTAACTGAAACATGATGAAAGCCTTAAGCTGTTTTAAAGAAATGTTTTTTCTTAATTATTCAATGCATTACTGTTGTCCTTATTTATATATTTGTTATTAAATATTCAATGATTGCACATAAGAAAACCCCAACCAGCATCTTGTAATATATTTTTTAATCTTTTCATTTAAATGTAGTATAAAATACTACCTGAAACTAAAAAAACAACCAAACAAAAACCATTTTTCTACACTACCCGTACTTTGAAAGTATCTGTAACTGAGGTAATGAACACATTGAAAAACTACCTGAAATTTCCAAGCTGTCTTTGGTGTTTGTGTTGATGATTTTTTTCTTCTGGGTGCTCTTCCAATGTTTTCATGCAGTAGGTGAATATACAGAAGATATTGCTGAATTTGCAAATAGCTGGGCTGTGCAAACCTCAGATGATGTAGCTTGTGTACCTACTGCCTCAGATTTTTCCAGTCCTTGCTCAGCTAACACAGAACTCACTGAGGTAAATTAATCATGTTTATTATATATATATTTTTTATTAATCTTCACTGTCTGGTTCAAGAATATAGCAATATATGCTGTGTTGAAAAAAGCCTTAGATGCGTTGAGGCTTTGATAAAAGCAAGATTCATATCAGGACTGTTGCTAGGGAATATCTGAAGATCTTCAGATGTTTAGCTTAAAAGTACAAAAGCTAAGATAAGATGTGCCAAGTGGCACAGGTCTGCTGGCAGACCTCTTCATTGCTGCATTAAACTTGGTTTCAGTTTCCTGTCCTGGCATCTTATACCTCATTATTTTGGAGATTGTGAAATACTGCAGAAGTAACATGCTCAGCTCCTGCATTGACCAAAATGCTTTTTTTGTCATTTCACACTTTTTCATCCCGGCTGGTTTAGGAGCAACACACAATCAAGGCAGTCTAGGCAGAGAGGACAAATTTTAGGAAGAATAATAAAAGGAGACATAATAATAAATTAAGATTATAAAATTTTAATGGGCATATAAATTACCCTAGATTAGGGAAACAAAGCTAAAAAGTATTACGTTTGTTCAGAAAGTATTTGCTAACTGCCATTTATTGATTCTCCTTAATGCACAGGACATATTCTTCAAGTGCCAAATATTCCTACAGTTTCCTTTTCTCAGCTGTCATGAAAGCATAGATCCGTATTCTTATATTTCTAGCTGTATGAATGATCTTTGCAGGTAAGACTGGAGTTCTTGTGTATTTATTTTTGACACATGACATGAATGCTCACTCTTTCACTTGAGACCAGAACTGTGCAGCATTGAGGGAAGTTAGGAGGAACCAAGTTTAAAGCAAAAGAGATGGGGACTCTCAGTGGGTGATTTAGTATGGAAACAAAGGGCACAGAACCAGCCTAGCAAGGGATATTTTGATCGCTAAAGGTTTACATGGATTCAGGGAAATACCGGTCAAATACATAGAAGAGAAATCCATGGAGAATCACTAATGACTAAAAAGGAACTCCTAATCACAAAAACCCTGAAACCTGTATCTGGAGGTCCTGAATTAAAAACATATGGAGATGATACCTGGGGGAAACAGGAGCAGGACCATTTGTCTGACACAGCTGCACGGTTTTTATGAGCAACCAACATGGTTCAAATTAGTAGAATTTTTCAAAATTATTTCATTTATGTAAATTCAGTGTTGTCAAAGAAATTCAACTCCCATTGACTTTGAAGGGTGTTATATCTCCTTAGTTGCTGGCATTACATGCAGCCTGGTATTTTTCCCTTACCTCCCCAGACTCCTGTTTAGTTTTTGACAGCAATTCAAGTTAACCGTGTCCTCCAGAGTTAACTGTATAAATGACTGAGCAACACTCTACTTCCTTTTCAGTAGGGTTTTTAAATTAAGAAGTACTTGTCATAAGTAGCAGAATTTTTGCGAGATACTATTATGGCCTTCTCAGAGCATCATCAATTTAATAAAAAACATGCAGAAAGGATCACAAGACTAAAAGTTAGAATCACTTGGTAGCATCCCTTACAACTTGTTCATTTTTGATGAATTTTCAGTTTTCTGCTTTGCCATCAAGTCAAGACGGAAGAATTTGTGTTTGTAGGCAAATCTCCAGAGTGTGCTTCCTGAAGTTTATGATCTGTACCTTGATTTTGCTCAGAGAAGAGATAAGTTGCCTATGTATGGTCACTTTGTAACTCAGGAGTTTATTGTGATTTTTTCTTAGCAAAAGAAGAATGATGAAAAGCGAATTTTCAAATGTGATATTGAATCAGTGTCATGCTGTTAAGGTGGATTTCATTTGTGTCAACATGCACCTGTGTTGATGACAACTGTGTGAATGTTAAAAACCTTGAAGGGAGTTTGTGTGTCTCAGAACCTCATTAGTTTGGGCTTATTTTTTTTATAAAAGAGACCTCTCTTCTTGTGGCTTAGTGTCAGTTTATGAAGCTTCTTGTGGGGCCATAGCATATGCCAAGTATTCTTTCTATTAAGACCCATCTAATTGGATTAGATAAAGAGAGCTGGAGAGACTCTGATCACTGTAACAAAGAGTATAGTGGTGTTTGATTTGATAACAGATGTGTTGAAAGCAGAGTACAAACACAATATAAAATATTCTTAAGACCATTAATATTGGAAGCATGATCTTGTGTGCTGAAAGACAAACTCAGCTGATCCGTCACAGTCATGCTTATAATAGAAATGTTGTGTTATGACTAGTTCATTTTGGCATCAAATCCTCCACAGTAAGTGATGGGACTTGTTGGAATTCCTAAGTAACAAAAAATTGGTGGAATCTTGCCTTATGTGACTTACATCTGAATAAAATTTGAGCTTACCTCACTGTGTGCTGTTATGACTGGGTGATGTCAGCTATGTGTGAAGTATCCTGTGCAGTGTCTTGTGGTAGATATTTGTAGATGGCATCTGAGTTCTTTTATTACTCCCTTGTTTTATCATTTCAGAGTGGATGATGATGCAACATACTGCAGGGCGGTGACAGAGTACGCTAGAGCGTGCTCTCACGCTGGCTCCCCGGTGCGGGACTGGAGGGATGACTTTCCTGCCTGCAGTAAGACTATTCAATAAAGCATACTATGTGACCTTTGAGATACCCCATGTATGCATTTCAAATAATTCTATCTTGACAACATTTGAACATATAGAACTCAAACCTGATACTGAAATAGAACAGCCAGTTTCACTACTGCTGCAAACAATGAACTCAGTGACTTGCTAGATGAATATTTTACTTCCATTTGATCTGATCTAGATCCATACAAAAATCATGTTTCCAGAGATTGCTTGAAACATCATGTGTGCTGATCATATTCTAGGATAGAGAGCAAATGTCTGTGGAGATTTGATGATTCTCCTCTTCCCAGATGACCTTTCAGCCTCCGCTGGCCCTGTAACAGAATTAATACAGTTAATCCAGCTCCTTCTTGTTATCACCAACACCCATCAATTTCAGTTCAGTCTCATGCGCTCTGAACTAGCTGAGATATGAGCTGTTCCCCTGTCACAGAAACTATAACTTATTTTGGAGGGGTGATATAAAATTTTGGTGAAGAAAGACTTAAATACTGGTGAGAGATTCACCACAGTTCATCAGTTAAAACCTCCCCAACCAATCCTTTGTGCTTGATCTGAATAATTAGCCATACCAGAAGCGCCACACAACTCTTTATTTGAGAGAGAGGGGTTCTCCAGTATGGAAAGAGAAATTGCACTAATGTTCAATGTACCATGTATTTTTTCCTAGCTGAGAAGTGTGAAGACAGCTTTGTGCACCGTGACTGTATCAGTTGTTGTCCACCAACCTGCACATTTGAAAAAGATTGTCTTGGCAGCAACCTACACTGTTTAGATGGCTGTTACTGTCCAGATGGTAAGTGCTGTCAATTTAATGTAAAAAAATCTGCATAAAGCTAATATCTAGCATCATAATGAAGTTGTCTAAATAGACTGTGCTTAAAGCCAGAAAATACGAATATTGTAAGTTCTGCTCTAGCTGTTGCTATTCTCACTGTGATTTTTCCTTTTATTGAGCTCTAAATATTTCTCTAGAATACAAAGGTGGCTCAGAATTAAGTATCAGTTAAAATCTGGAATCATCACTAATGTTTTCTACAATAAGATACTGCATAGATTTAATTCACTTTATTTGAATTATTCAAAAATCTATTGAGATTTTGTTTAAACAGAATGTACTCTGTACAGGAAAAAAATACTTCCTGAGACCTGTACTTAATAAAAATTAGGGGCCGGACTATGAACAGTCCTGTTCTAGAAGGACTGAAGGTTATGTGATCTTAGAATCTTTTCATTTTTGAGTCTGTGCAGTTTTACATGCTTAAGGCAGACATTTTTCATAAAGAAACTATTCAGCGTGGCAACTGCTGTGAGAGAGCTTCACTGTTCATCGTTGAGCTCTCTGCACTCCCTGGTCCCCTCTTTACTGGTCCCCAGTTAAGATGAGATCACCTTCTGGCATATTTGAATGTTTGAGTCAGATGGGGGAAAAGCAGTGATCAGAGTTCATTAACTTGTTTTTTGTCTCATTCATTCACTTCCTTCCTAATAGGTCTCATTATGGAAAATGGAACTTGCATCTCCGTGTCAAATTGTCCTTGTATTTATCATGGAACTGCCTTCCCTGTAGGCTCAAAAATTGAACAAGAATGTAGCAACTGGTATGTGAAAGCCTCACGTCTGTGTTTTCTCTTTCTGTGACCATGGCCTGTAGTTAGTTTAACGTCATAGTCATGCTTAACATTTTAAAGAATAGTTAGTATCTGTGTTTTACAGTATGGGCTCTGTATATCACTAAAATATGCAGGCTATTCTATGGAAAGACATATTAATTAGCTCAAATCTGCTCTTTTTGCTGAAGATCAGAACACTGAATTTCTGTGTTTTGTGATTTTTCTTTCTAGTATTTGTATTGGTGGCATTTGGAACTGCACTGATCATGACTGCCCAGGTATCTGTATTTCACTGTTCCTTTCTCTCGTCAATGAACATAAGAGGTGAACTTTTCAGATAACAACAGAACCAAATGTGATCCAAGGGCTTGTGATGCTAATTTAAGAAGAAAGATTAAGCAGATGGAGGTTGAGAGTAGCAGTGGGTTGACAGTAACAGTGAAGCTGTTAACTGCCTGACCATACTCATCGTACCTTTTCCCATTTGCGTTGCCAACTCACTGTGGTACATCCACCTCTTGTTTTCTATCTCCTATTTACTATGTTCTTTGAGGCAGGCAGATATTTCTACTGCCTGTGCAGTATCTGGGCCAGGAATAAGGATCTCCTCAGTTCTAGGTGCAATTGTAATGCAAATAATGACAAAAACATCATTCTGGTGCTGTGTTGTATTTTCTGCCGTATAAGAGCAATTCACATTTGGGTAATAGTGCTTACCTTTAAAAATTACATGTCTGTAACGAGTTACTCAGAAGAACATGCAGTATTCCCAAAATGAAACTCTCTTGCCACTTCTGTATATTAGACAACATTATAAAATGAAATTTCTGAAAGAGACATTTTTTTACCAATTAAGGAGCCCCCTCTGAACGAGGTAATAAACAAGGCTTAACAGTCACTAAGCAAGGCTTGACAGGGTAGTGTAGTGTCACTGTAGTGTAAAACAGCTGACATTGAGAACTACTCCATGTCCTGCGTGTGCTGTGGGTGCATGTCAGGGCTTAATTATGACTACTCTAGTCTGGTCCTAGGGACTAAATGCCTGGTGGTAGCAGGAGCAGGTTAGATGTGCTCCCACAGAGCATCTCCTGCAGCAGCAGCAGCCAGAATGAATCTAGTTCCTGTGCTCTGACACTGCCCTGTGGGGTGAATGAAAGCGCAGCAAGTGGGGATGCACCGGAGAGTTGCTTCAACAGTGCAGTCCTCATCTGAACTGAAAAACTAATATAGATGTACCTTGAGGACAGACACCTGCAGCCTCTTCATACCTGCAGTAAAAAGCAGTGCCATAGTACCTGGAAGGAAGGAGAAAGATTGTCCTCTTTCACACTCAGTCATACCACAAGATGATGAGGAAGATTCCAGGAAACTTCAGAGTTGTAATAAGAGAAAGCTCTCCTGTATTTTAGAGAACTCTTAACTCAAAGGCGCCTCATCTTGTTAGAACCAAAAGATGCTGCACGGTGGCCTGTGCAACCTAAGATTGTGTCTGATGGAAATAGGTGTATTTAACGTATTTTATTTCCAAATACTGTAATAGCTAGCCAGATTCAAGTTAGCCTGGATTGTGTGCTTAGAAACGGGGAGAAAGTTTCTTATTTATCTTTCTTCCATCATTTACAGAATAATGATACATTCTTATGCAAGTGAACATTCTTGTTTATCCTTTTTCTCTCAAGCGGAGTGCTCCATCACAGGTAGCTCTCATTTCACAACATTTGATGGACGACATTTTACTTTTCTTGGGATTTGCCAGTACATTTTGGTAAAAGGCACCGGGAAAAACAAATTCACAATCACTTTGCAGAAAGCACCTTGCGGACAAGTAAGTCACATTTTTGTTGAACATTCACAACAAATGTGTACATCCGTTTTTCAGGAAACCTTGTATAGGTTCTATGGTAAACTACTGGGTTATGTTTAACAGGAAAATATCATATATTGAAACCATTTTACAGCTTTTTTTGGTAACTGGTTGTATGTACATGTAGTATCACCCTTTGTAAAATCAATTTCATCTTTAGAGGGATAAAAAGTCTGAAGAGTTATTCATTCAGGCACATTAAATAAGTGTCTTTGGTTACAGTACAAACAGGTGTCTTAGGCTTTAGAAAAGCTCTTACTGGCAGCACTGAACAGGTTTAATACACTGCTAATTAGGCAAGAGATATTATTTTGGTAGCTTTAAATTTTTATTTGATGCGTTATTTTATTTGTTGGAAGAATGCCTTTTAGAAAGTATTGAAGAGACTAGCCACTGCACATATTTGTTTGAAAGTCTTTTTGGCAGGTATCCAACAACAGTCTTTACCAATAGAGGTGCTTATAAAAAATACTTATCTACGAGAGTGGATTTAATCATGCTATTAGTCCCCTAGCCTCTCAGCAGAAGTCTCTGAGGCTGTGACTCACAGCCACCCATGTGCCAAGGGCTGGGATACCTCAACTCATGAGTGGAGAGTGACTCACTGAAGCTGCCCTACTGTGAGGCTGTCTCTCTCATCCCTTCAGATTATGAGCTGATGCCTCTGCTTTTTTTGTAGGCACCTCCTTCTCCTGCATAGGTGTCGAGATTCCTGTTTTTGCATTTCAGCTGGCCTCAAGCATGAAGTGCTTGGTTAGGTAGCCACTGAGAGACAAGGATGCTACTGGAAATGACCCTTAGCACAACTCTAGGAACCTTGGAAGTTCCTGGGTGAAATCATAGGGACCTTGGGGAGCATAAAATGCTTGGTTTAAGCTGGTTATATGTCACTTTTTGTTTCGTACTTGCATTCTGCAAGGATAACGCTTCAAAATGATGAGTGTGAGTTAGTTTATAAGTCACCATTTTTCAAACAGTCAGATATTTAGAAATTATTTTAGTATAATTCTGGAGAAATTATATTCTTATGTGTGCAATCAGAGATCAAGACTAGGTGTCAAGGTAAAAGAGAAGCACCTTCATGTATACAGTATTTTCTTTCTTCTGTTTGCTACGTTTGGGGTCTGGTTACACCAGCTTGATAGAGATTGGGTCAGACTCTTGTTAACCCAGCAATGAGCAGCACCCATGCAAGTATGGATTTTGAACCCAGTATCAGTACTTGGGGTCCTCTGCCCACTTACTGCTACGCTGCCATGATAACTAAAATGCACTCTCCTTGCTCTTATATTCATATACGATGTTATATTATGTTCTACATAAAATTTTGGATGCTCTGTTTAATGCTTTGAGGGATAGTTTACAACTGATTTACCTGATGACAGTTCTGGTATTTCCTTTCCGTACAACTGTTTTCTCTTCCTGTTTGTTTGGTTTTGCTTTCCATGGTAATATTAATGTCTTTGCCTGTTTCTGATGGTGAAACTTGTTTCTACTTAGAACTTTGACCACGCCTGCATTGAGTCTGTAACACTAGTTCTTGAAGATGATGTGAGCAAACAAGTAACTCTCACAAGATATGGTCGAGTCCAAACTGGTCCTAACCAAGTTTTTAACCTTAATGGTAAGAAGCGCATGGAGTACAAATTTACTAGGGTTCAAATTCTTCCTTGTATACACTCCGAAGCTTTTTAGTAATATGTGTTTATGAAAAAGGAATTTCTTCAAACATACCTTATGAAATGTACAATAACTTACTTCTTATAACCTTAGCAATGGTTCTGGAAATGTACTTTTTCAGACTGTGAAATAGAGTCTTTCATTATGTCCTTATTTCTTTGTATTTATTATCTCATAAAGTGCCCAGAAATTCCACTCACTTTGTTTGTGTTTAGGGGGGAGTAGGTAAGAAAAAGAAGGGAGGTGAAGAAAGGATGGAAATAATCTTGATGCTGATGTTAAGATCTACTTTGATTAAAGGTTTTTGAAATAAATGTCATGGAATAGAAACCATGTGCTCTACAAGATCTACGTTGATTTCAGCACTGACGAGCATTGTGATTTCAGGCAGATTACTTCACCTTTTTGGAAAGGACAGTAAGATAAATCAATGTTAAAAGTATATTATAAAATTAAGCACTGTAGGTGGAAATGATATTGCTAAATTTTGTATCTCACAGTGATCAGTAGTAAATTCTTACTGAATTTTTAGTCTCTTTCAGAGCAAAGTTGTAGTTCCTCTTTCCTTTCCCAGTCTCTGGCAAAACAGAACCTAGGGGTTTCTGCGCTGGTGGTTGCAGCTATGCCTTTTCTTCATTGAATTTGTCCAGTCATAGTTTTGCTTTGATCATGTGTAGCTTCCTAGGGCAATGAGTTTCATAGGTCAGTTATACTTTCAGTTATGTTTAAAGTTCTGCTTCATAATTTCATTGATAATTCCATTTTATGTCTTTTGAATCAGTCCCTATTCACTTTCTTGTCTCCTTTCATAGTCTGCGACAAATATAATCTATGACAAATATTTTGATGTCACATTCTTGATAATTGGGTGTTATCTATTAGGTCTTGCCAGTTAAGATCTTTAAGTTCAGTATTTTATCTGCCTCTTCTCAGTTTGTGCAGCTAAGTGTGCGTTTGTAGAGGCTGCCTTGTGAAGGTAGATCTGCTTTAAGCCTGCAGCTGCAAGTAGCCCTACAATGTGTAGCAAATGAGTGCTGTGACTGTGAAATCTCCATTTCCTCACATAATGGATTTGCTGGGAAGGAAAGCTGGGAATTTGATAGGGCCTTAGTTCACATACAATCTAAGGAAAGAACTATACTGATGTCATATCAATAGTAATAAAAGGGAACCTTCAATCTGAAGATTGCAGTACATTCTACAGGCATCTGTTAATTAATCTTATAACATCCCTGGGGGCTAAGAAACAAGTGGTTTCTTGTCTTGTCTTCTCATTGTCAGAGGCATGCTGTTGCATTGCTTTCTTCTTAAAAAAATAGATATGTGAAAGGGGTTTCTGGATAACTCGCAAGTACAGAAAGGTGAGAGATTTTTTTACTGTTGACAGTAGTTGCAATTCCTGATTTGTGTTGCTAACAAAAGGATATGTAGTCTCATAAATTCAGATGGAGAATGGGTGAGCTTATTTGGCTGTAGGTGAGGTTGTGCATAGTTTCTCATTTTATTTCTGAGTTTTCAAAACCTATTTTGTTTCAGGCATAAACCGATACCACCTGAAAGTTGCATTTCAGTGACTTTGTTTTAATTTTGCTTTTGCTATGTGCAGGGGCTATTGAAATTCAGAACATATCTTCTTTGTTTGTTCAACTGAAAACTAGTTTTGGTTTGAAGATACTGTTTGCTAAAGATGGAGAGAGAATCTATGTTCAAGTTGATGTTGGCTGGAAGAGAAGAACATTGGGATTATGTGGAACATACAATGGAAATTTAAGAGATGATTTTCTGTAAGTTGTGTATTGTACATTTAGACTGTGTTTACCAACAAGTGAAATCTTTTGTTGAATGTAATAATCTGATTATTTAGTTTCATTAATGTACTCATACTTTATTAAACTAATCAATACAACATCTCTTAATTAAAATGTTAGTTACAATTAAAAATACGAAACCCATAAATGTAGCTAAGTCATTGTAAGATGTTTAGCTGAATCAGTTTTGAAAACTACCATATTATTTATAGAAGTTACTGGTTGATGATATTGTGTGAACGTACTTTTTTGCCTCCCTGCTCCTCCCTTACCACCAGATCAAATACACGAGCACTGATGAAAAGAGTGGAAAATAATACTCATAGGATCCTTACCTGATTAATGATTACTACTGTTTGATTTTTTTCCTACACCTCATTTTAATGGGAAAAAAATATAATTCTGAACCACAGGAATAGTTTATTAGAAGAGCACACTCCTTATTCTTTGATTTCATTTCCTCCAAGCTATAATATTGCAAAACTTTTTAGCAATAATAAATGCTTTTGAAATACTTCAGGAAAAACAGTATCAAAATGCAAACAACCCCCCTCTAGAATACTGATAGATACTGTTAGATAACAGGTCAAATTTTTGACATTTCACTGAACGTATGCACTTGAAAAAAGGCTGAATTCTGCTGTCATTAATGCCTCCTCTAACTGATTTCAGAGTACTTGAATTAAGCATAAATGACGGCAGACTTTGAATGTAAGAATATTTTTGCATAAGTAAAATGTTGAGGAAAAAGCTTTACATGCCCTCTCTTATTTTATACCTCACATTTTACATCTCTTTTGACATGTAGAATGTTCAATGTGACTATGCATCTAAGCCTTTCTGATGTACTTGCATCTTCACCCGTGTAGTCCATAAGGTCAGCAGGACGCTTGCAGTATTGATCTTTTCCTTTACAGTTCTCCAGCAGGAATGATAGAAGGGACCCCACAACTTCATGCCAATGCATGGAAGGTTTCCTCAGCTTGTTCGGTGCCTATCAATATTCCTGTTGTTGATCCTTGCAATGTTAATCAGCAAAATGGTATGTTTTTACATAGGAGTCTGGAATTAGCTGTATTATTATGGGACATTTTTGGTTTTTGTGTGAATGAGTTGCACTGTTACTTTCTATTCATTAATGAATACGTACATATATTTTAACTTCAGTTTTAGATGCACACCCTTTCCTTGATTTTTCTTTCTTGGCAGACCATTCTTTCCATGCGTTTAGCATGTAAAATTAAGTAAGTCCTTTGTAAATACAAGCTAGTAGATCATTCAATACCTGGTGTACTGGCCACGAATCCTAAATTCTGCTGTATATTAAACATGCAGAGTGCTAGGCTACACTGTTTGTAGTCCTGTAAATTATTCCAGCTAAGAGAATTGATGCACAGTTGTAGATTGACAAAGAAAGTGCAGGAGGCAGTGTCTTGCTGAGAGACTGCTCAGATCAAAAGTCCTATCTCTGGCTTCTCTGTTTGTCTAAGTTGCATTAAAAAGTTTTGTTATCCTCCATCTATGGTCTCTGACACAACATGATGCAAACAATCACATCCGTGGATTTGTTCAAATTCCTGGGTAAAGATTTAGTTTTGGCTGGTTGACATGCGTATGTTTTGCATCGAACTTTCACTGTTTCCTCCTTTCTGTGTTGCTGTTATTTTCAATTAATGGAGACAATGAGGAGACAGTATTTGCCAATTCTGACAAAATCTAGTCTAATGTTTTTAATGTTTCAGACATAATGCCTGTCTGGGGATGTGGAATTTGGCCATATTTAGAGCTTGTTGGAGCAAGCCTAAAATAACCATAAACCTTGAAGAATCTGGGGCATTCTAAGACTTTTTATGCCTTCAGCATTCACTGCCTTCTGAAGCAGTACATCTCAGCCAAGTTAGTGCTCTCCAAGATACTTCATGCCTCACCTTCAGTTCTGTGCTTCCTCAGTGAAGGTGGAGTTTGACATAAATGTAAGCTTCTTAGCACAGGAGGGTGGACTAGATTATCTTCTGAGGTCCTTTCCAGCTTGAACTTTCCTGTGATCCTGTAATCATCACTGGAAAAAGCAGTCCTTGAGTAGGAGGTCCTGCCCCACACTACCACCTGTGCTGAGCCAGTGCAAACATTCTTCCAGGCCTGTGATGATCTCAATCTGATGAAACGGATAAAGAAATCAGTGTTTGTTTGTTTACTTATTTTGTCAGGTTACTTTTCAACCAAGCCCAGTTCACTCCTTGAATCTAATTTACTGAGAGATTCCACAGAATCACAGAGAGATATGGGGTTGGAAGGGACCTCTGGAGATCATCTAGTCCAACCCCCCTGCCAAAGCAGGTCCACCTAGAGCAGGTCGCACAGGAATGCGTCCAGGTGGTTTTTGAATATCTCCAGTGAAGGAGAGTCCACCGCCTCTCTGGGCAGCGCATTCCAGTGGTCTGCCACCCTCAAAAGAAAGAAGTTCCTCTTCATGTTTAGGTGGAACTTCTTATATTCAATTTTGTCCCCATTTCCTCTTGTTGTACCCCTGGGCACCACTGAAAAAAGTCCAGCCCCATCCTCTTGACACCCTCCCTTTTATGCTTTATAAGCATTGATCAGATCTCCCCATAGCCTTCTTTTCTCCAGACTAAAAAGACCCAAGTCCCTCAGCCTCTCCTTGTAAGAGAGATGCTCCAGGCCCCTAATCATTTTCGTAGCCCTCTGCTGTACCCTCTCTGGCAGTTCCCTGTCCTTCTTGAACTGGAGAGCCCAGAACTGGACACAATACTCCAGATGGGTCCTTACCAGGGCAGACTAGAGGGGGAGGATAACCTCCTTCTACCTGCTCCAGAAATTCCTCTTTCAGTGTGTGTTTATGGGAATGAGCAAGGAGGATGAAGGGTAGGAACACTCTTTTAGCAGTAAAATTGCCTTCAATATGATCCACACTACAGTGTTCCAGAGATATTCCACCACATGTCGTGGTGGCAGCTTTAGTGGTAGGAGGAGGGGCTGTTGGCACTAGAAGATATTTGAATGTCCCTGAGCTCCAGTTTGCAATGCTTTCTGAGTCCACAAGCCAAGAAGTACATGGCGATTGCTGATTTCAAAGGTAAATGAAACATCAAGTAGGAAAAAACATTCCAAAATTCAGAGGACTCTTCTCACTAACTCTTTTGAAATATGTTTTTTTTGCTGTTTAAGCTTCCTGCACTACTATGGGAAGGTATAACTGGTTTTATACAGTTATTTTTTGTCTCTAGTGGAGTTTGCTGTTGAGGGAGTTGCTTAAAATACCAGTTTTAAACTATAGTACTTTGCAGAAAGACATTGTATACAAGATTTTCTGGTACGAGTGGCTATGTTTGGTTTTAATATTCTGGCTATCCATTTGACTATCATATTAAAATGGGTCAGGCTAAAACAATGTCGCCTTCTCTTAGCTGGGTATGCATCTCACTGTGATATCATCAATCAAGAAGTTTTTGCTCCCTGCCATGCCTACATCAGCCCGGGATTATACTACCAGCTCTGCCGCTTCGACGCGTGCAAATGTGGAAGCAGCTGCTTGTGTAATGCTCTGGCTCACTATGCTTACCTCTGCGGCAAGCACGGGGTCTTCGTTGACTTCAGATCTCATATTTCTTACTGTGGTGAGTAATGTTTGCAGAACAGAGTATCTTTTAGCAATGTGTAAAATTCTAGAAATGCCACTCACTCCACAAAATACAGGTATTGAGCTTTTTTACTGGAAAATAGAATTGTGCCATGAGCTTATGACATACTCAGGGGAGAACGCTAATCGCCTTTACGTTAGGCATCTGATTCGGGGACCCTGAGCTGCCTCACAGGGGGTGCCTGTTCCATTCCATTGGCTACAGAAAGAATTTAAATTTCTGACGCTGAGCTCCTAAGTTATATGGAAGCCCCTATTAGGCTAAAGTAGTCAGGGAGGGGCAGAAGCAGGCCTGTTCCATAAGGGAAGGCAACTTGGGTTGGCAGGGGCTCCCTGGGGAGGGCAGAGCAGGAAGTGATTTACCAAGCAGGATATACTAATGATTCAAAACATGGCGTTTCTAACTCAGAGTAATGCCTCAACTTCAACTGTACTGTTCTTCCTCTCTTGAAAGCCTAGATACACCCACCACACCCCACACCCCCCTGACACTTAGCACATACCTACTGCTTACACAGTTGATAATTCCAGCCAAGGAATTTTCTAACAGAATCTCACCTAAATCTAAACATTTCTAACTTAAGAAATCAGTAAACCAACATAGTTTCTCGTGCATTTGAACTCACCCTAGTGCAGCAAGAGATCATTTTGCTTTGCTGTTTTGCACTCCCATGATACACTGCTTTGTTTTCAATTTTCCACATATTAAGAGTATGTTGTTCTCCCTTCTCTCTCTCTCTCCTCCAGCTGTGATGTGTCACAGTGGTATGCTTTATCATCAGTGCTCTTCTTTTTGTAAACATTCCTGTGCTTCACTTTCTATGGCAAATATCTGTGGTGATGACTGTGCAGAAGGATGTAATTGTCCTGATGGGAAATATTTTGAAGAGTCGGTCAGCTTTTGTGTATCAATGTAAGTCATAAGAAAATACAGTATATACGTAAGCACATTTTCTATTTGCAACAAGGTTTAAAGTAGGGGTATTTTTCTGTTTTTCTCAAGATGTAGACTTCCTAAAGAGGATAGCAAGAAAGACATGAAGGTTTCATATTCTTTTATACTAATCAGTAGTGGGGCCTCATCTGCTACTATGTGTACAGCCATCTACTGTACTTTAGAGAAGATATGTCACACTGCTTTAGAGAGAGGGGTGATGAAACTTTTGAATTCATGGGAAAGCATTTTCACATGAAAACCTTGTTTTTATCACTTACGTAAAACTGAGAGAGAATTTACACAGTAGCAGTCCATAAAGTCACGGATAGTATGGAGAGAGTGGTTAGGAGTGTCTTTTATTGTCTCACAATGCAAACCAAATGAAAGGAAACAAGTTTTGTGTATTGTATACCAAAATTGTACAGCTTACCACCATGGGAAGTTACTGAGTTCAGGTACTGAATTAAAACTGAAATGACTATATTTGCAAATGTCAAGATTATACAGATTTATTGCTGTTCATTGTGAGATATTTTTGAAAGATGAGTAAAGTCCATACCATAATATAGATAAAGACTATTTGAAACTATCAAAGAGTGTAAGGTAAGTTGGTATTCCTATATTTTTGCATGGTTTCTAGGGAATTCTGTTGCTACTTCTGTCCCATCTGGCTTTTATCACAGGGTTAATAGATTTTGCTATGATAATTCCTCTAACCCATGATTTTGATAATACTTTGAGTGGGAACTACTTGTTGCCATACTCTTCCCATAACTGGGAAGAAAAGTTCCTTTCTATAAGACTAATGCAGAGAAACAGCAAATAAATAATATGGAGATTGAGGAAAATCCTGTCTTTGTTGAAGACAGTGGGAGTTTTGCCATTGACTTCAATACAGCCAGGGTGTCGGGTGTCATCCTTTAATTTTTGCCTTTAAAAATGTATTGTAAATATAAATAAAAAGATTGATTTAATGAATTATAAGGCCTGCTTATCATAATAGTTTGACAAATGGATTGCCCTCAGATCTCATTTCATTTTGCTTTTTTGATCTACACGCATAAATATTCTTTTAACAGATCTGCCTGTCATTGTCATTACAAGGGCAAAGCCCTCCAGCCTGGAGAAATCCTCCTCATGCCAACAGGCTCCTGGTAGGTTGGAACGCCAAGAGTTTTATCTTTCATGTATTACAGTTTGGATGCTACTCAAGACCCCTGAGAGTTTTTTCACGTAGAATGAAGGTCTATTGTATCAAGATTTTATTTTTATTACACACTAAGCAAAAGGGAAACTAATGTAAATTGGATTACATACCTGCTTATTTTAACAACAGGATACTTGGAAAATTCTGTAGGCCAGTGTCTAAAGAGCATCTCAAAACACAGGCATGGAGGTTGCAGTCCTGTTCTTAGACCTGGAGGCATTATGATAGCAACGTGATCCTGGTTTCTGAAGAATAAACAATGGGATTCTGTTTTGGAAAGTCTGTCAAAGGCTTGCAGGGAGCTATATTTGTGTCACTTTGTATTATTAATTCTTGATGGAATCCTGACCTCGCTGAAACAAATGGGGAAACCTCCCAGGTTTCCTGGTCAAACTTGCTCATTTTACAAGCAATGCTTTCAACCTGCAGATTTAATATTGTGTCTGTGACTTGTGCATCAAGGTTGGCTCTGGCTGAGGTCATATAGGGGCTTCATTTTTCTGCCATTGCTACGCCTCTCCAATGTTCTGGGTTTTTTTCACAGTTAAGAAATTAAGGAATCAGGTTAAGTTGTATTATCTTTTTTAACGTGATGGCTACAAAACATTTGACCCTTGAATAAAGATGGGTTTGCTTTTCTTTTTCAGTCAATGTTTGAATGGAACAGTGAAATGTATTGAAGCCACTACAGAAAATACAGGTAATTTATGGTCTTGTTTCATATTACAGTTGCACAGAGAAAGTTTTTGACGTTGAATAGTCATTTGGTTTTCTCCTCATATGTATTTCCATTATGAGATACTTAATGTCATGACATATTTAAAATAGAAGGTTAGGAACACAAGTTGCCTTGTTTTTTTCTTTTTCCTTTTTCTGTAGCACAAATTGTACTACTAAGTCACTTGGGAAATTAAAAAGCCTAAATACATGTGAGGTATACGTCAATATGTTCTCATGTGAATACCTAAATTAGGCTCACTAGGCATGTTTAGAAAGCCCTAGGAAGCATTGATTTCTAGAAAGTAACTTAATCTTTAAGAATGAGCTGTGTATCAGATCCAGGGTACCTAGATCCAGGTGCTTAATATTAAGTTGATTTTGGTTTTTTTACATAATAAAACATCCATTAATTTTATATCTGTAATACAAATGAAGCTATAGACTTTTATTAATATTATATTCTTATGTGTAATAAAATGTATGCATTAAAATAAATAGTTTGTGAATTAAAACAAATAGAAAACCTGCAGTGTAAAAGAGAAGTTGATCTCATTTAACCTGCATTTTGCATTTGAAGTTCACATATGCCCTGAAGGAAAAATGTACTATGACTGCAGATCTCCTGTGCCTGGATTACCAGCAGCAGGTGTGAACTGTGTGATCTCCTGTGCAAACCTTGCCATGAACTTCTCCTGTGTCCCCTCACCACCCTGTGCAAGTGGCTGCGTTTGCCCCCCTGGGTAAGCTTTGGAGGAACAGCCTGGAACACAAGCCATATACATATTTTTCACAGTTTAAATCTGCATATTTTTTTTTTGCTTTTTAAATTCCAGTGGTATCACACCTCTAATTTTGAAACTATTGTTCTGTAAATTTTTGCAGATGCACAGTCACAGTTAAAATGCCAAGTCTTTCTTTTGTCTCTGAGAGTCCTTTTGTCTTTCCTGCTGGTATGAGGCTCGATGCTTTAATGCTTCCTCTGTTGGAGTACCCCAGTTTCTTCATCCTGAGACCATGCTTCCAGCATCCCATAAGATATCCAGCTTGCTACCGGTCTGATTGACTGGTATTTTGACAGGAGATGACTCCCACCACTTGCAGAGTATAGTTTATTTGAGTGTAGAAGCAAACATGAAAAAAAATCTTAATGTAAACCATCTGTGTTCCTGCTTTCTGCTCAAGTAATTGTCTCACCTAGATTTCTACTCTGGCTTACAGTACTGATGCCCAACTTGGGGCGGGGAGGTGGGAGGTGCAGGCTGGATCCTGCCCCCTTCCCCTTCATTCTTTCTGCCCTTCTTAACTCAGCCAAAGTTTTTTTCTTTCAGCTCATGTATTTGGATTTGGTGCCCAGAAACTGTCTGCTGAGCTTTGCAGGGGTCAAATCAAAGTACAAAAGCTAAAAGCATTTGTTCTGAAGTTTCTATCAACCACCACTCCCTCCAACTCTTTCCATTGCCTCGTCTGATACCTGCTGTATGCACTTTCAGATTTGAAAAGTCAAATATGCTGTACAAATTGCTGCAATTTGACCACAGGTGGAGTGTTCCTTGCTTTTTTCTCAACTTCTGATTTTATTTCCCTGTGTGCAAAGCCAATGGTCCCCCTGACATTATATTGGTTGTGCACAGATCAGAGTGTAATGAGACTGCCAGAATTCCCCTTCCAGCTACTTGTGACATTCACAGATGACTAAGCAGTGGTGGAGGACAAATTTCAGGCATAAATTTTTAAGATTTCACTAGTTGTTCTTGCTTGGTATTCAGTAGTCCTCTACAACTTTAGCCTCAACTAAGATGTTAGCTTTCAATACCATTAATGTTATAGAAATAAACAATTATATTTTACGCATAATGCATGAGTCTGTACAAGACATCATATAGAAGTTAGTAAATTTTCACTGAAATACCACCATGATTTTTTCATGAACTTAAACTAGTTAACATTGTCACAAAAGTTCATGTGAAAATTTCAAAAAATTAAAATGTACGTTAAAAAACAGAGCTAAAGACTTGCTCACACTCAAGCAGCATTCTGTCATTTCAAATTGATAAGCTGATTATTTTATGAATTATAAACTATAAAAGGGTTATAGAAAAGCCAAACCCCAAGTTTCTCTCAAATAATGTTTTAATACTGTGATGATATATTTTTTTATGCTCTTAAAATGTCTTTTTTTTATACTCTTAAGATGTTCTTTTTTTTTTTGACTTCTCCCACCTCATTTCTACCACTACCCATTGTTTGGCCCAATGACCTAACCTTTACAGAGGAAACCTGAATTCTCCTGAGACTGGTACTATATTCTAGCATCCTGGGTACTTATGGTGCCCACAAATAAAAAACAGCTTATGCTTGGTATTGAAGCCCTTCCCTTTGGAAACCCATGACAGGTTGGACTCTAGTAGGCAAAAAATGGTTCTCTTAAAGTAAAAAAAAAGTTTTACAATTTCTATTGTTAAAATTATTGCACAACGACTTGTAATTCTTTTAATCAAGATTTAAAGAGGTGACAAAGAATAAGAAACACTGAAGGTCTCTGGTATGCTATAAAAATGGAATAGAATAACTCAAAATTTCATGAGGAAATTAGTTTAGAATGAATGTAAATTCACCACCCAAAGATACATTGAAAGTCACCCTAACACTGAGCTGGAGAAAAGAGAAGTTAAGTTGAATTACAGAAGTACAGAAGAGTTGTATTGGAAGGGATCTCATGAGGCTGTCTAAGTTACTCTCTTGCCCTTAGGTAGCATCAGTGATACCTACATTATTCTTGGAAGATATTTAACTTCCATTGATAAAGACTCTAAATGACCTCCCTGTGCCATCCATTCTAGTATTTTTCTTTCTTTAATCATTTTTCTGAACACTTGACTTAAAACCAATTAAGTCAAATGAACCAGTAATTCTGGGGAGAGGAAAACTCCAATCTGTGTATTCCTTTTAACTTCAAGTAAAGCAATTTCAAGATCAGACTTTGAAAACACATCTCTCTCTGCTCTCAGTTGTGTGTTGCAATGACAGCTGCAGGAATTTCTCCCCTAAAAAGCAGCATTGGGAGTGTCAGTAACATTTTTTTAAAAGAAGTTAATGGTGCTAAGCAGGTGGAATTGAGGAGATAGCAAAAAGTGGTTAAACACATCTCTAGGTCAGTTATTCACGGTCTGATCAGACTTGCAGCTCTTTGCATTAAGAGCTGCTCTTTTGTCTTAACTTTGTTAGTTGTTTCCACCTCCCCAGTTCAGACAGGTAACCTCCACCATCGCTCTTTGTGAACTGTGTTCCTTTTCTCCTGCTAACTCTGCAACAGCTGCCACATCCCAGCTCACCATCCTGTGCTCAGAACTGCTTTGTGCAGAGGAGCAGGCACATCATTCTGGCTGCTCCCCTGGGACAGGAGGATGAGGGAGTAGCAGGGAGGGAAGGGCAGCCTGGCTACAGCCTCACCAGCGTGCACAGCACACAGATGCTTTGCAGTTTGCAGGGAGAAATACTTACACTACCTGTGCTCTTGCACAGGGGCTGATGCCCAACACAAACATACCCCTTTTGAGATAAAAGGAAAGCCACAAGTGTGAGCTTTGTGAGGTCTCCAGGTGTGCACAGTGGAGATTATTTGATCTGGGCAGCTTTTGCTACTGAAACAGTTGTCTTTGGCTGGCTGGCTGACCGGCTGTCCCTGGTGGGGTTAAGATGATATACTGCACATTCAGTTTCGTTGATCTACTTGTGAATTTACACTTTTGTCTTAATAATTCTTTTGTTTTGAAGGATGGCTGAGCATAGAGGGAAATGTTATATTCCTGACAGTTGTCCATGTACCTGGAAAGACAGGGAATTTCTGTCAGGAGAAGTGATAGCTACACCATGTTACACCTGGTGAGTGATATGCATTTTGCAGACTTCCAAATCATCTCAGTTTAGCTGCAAAGTGGAACTGACATGGAGAATGTGTTGAGCACACTGAAAATAAAAAAATGTATAGATTTGTTTATAGACAGTTACAGAACATATCTTTTAGTAAACTCACTAACAGACTTGGAAGAGTAGGCAGATTTTTGGGTGAGTGATTCTTCAGGTCTGAAAAGGAACAGAAGATATCAAAGTTAAAAAGCAGTCAAGAACAAATGCTTCCTTCCACACATATTGGTTAATCCCTGCAAAAGACATTTGGCATTTTGGAGAACAGAATATCATGAAAGATAACCAAGGAGAAAAAAAGAGAAGTTAAATGTATGACAGTGGTAAATTGTCTGCTCCTTTGGGAACTGGGCTGTTTGCAGTATAAGCTACCAGTCAGCATGAACAACTGTATAGGAAGAAGATCATAGAATTGTCTAGGTTGGAAGAGACCTTTAAGATCCTCTAGTCCAACCATCAACCTAACCCTGAAAAAAAACCATCACTAAACCATGTCACTAAGCACTACGTCAACCCCTCTTTTAAATAGCTCCAGAGATGGTGCCTCAACCACTTCCCTGGGAGCTCATTCCAATGCTTAATGACCCTTTCAGTGTAAAAACTTTTCCTAGTATCCAATCTGAACCTCTCCTCGTGCAACTTGAGGCCATTTTCTCTTGTCCTATCGACTTGGGAGAAGAGACCAAGTCCCACATCTCTGCAACCTCCATTCAGGTAGTTGTAGAGACCGATAAGGTCTCCCCTCAGCCTCCTTTTCTCCAGGCTGAACAACCCCGGCTCCCTCAGCCTCTCCACGTAAGACTTATTCTCCAAGACAGGCAATAGAAAAAGAAAAAGGAAATAAAAATGGATTGGAAGTGGAAAATGAGCTAACATCCAGCATCATTTTTTAAGGAACCTTACCTGGCTTACATTGGTAAGATCCATTCCAAGATAGATCCATTATAATTTGCTAGCCAAAATATCTATTTTCAGATAAGTATGTATCTAATTATAATAATAATAATAAAGTTTGGCATGATAGCTTTTAATCAGCTAAAAACCTCATTGGCAAATCAACTCAGCTTATACACTTAACACAAGCAAAACTAGAAGCTGTGAGTGCTACCGTTATACAAACTTGTGTAAGGCACTGAATGAAGCTGACAGAAAAAGTAATCCTGGAAAAATATCAGCATTTGTTTCTTAAACTCATTCTGTACCTGTGTGATACCCTGAAGTCTTACAGGTAGCAACTGGAGGTCTTCTGCATTGAATATGTGCAGATTTTAATCAAAATTTCATGAGAAAAAAAATAATATCGATGTTTTATTAATAAGCATGTAGTGGTACAGCATCTTATCTGTACTGGAGGTAGCAAGGAAATATTTGCATAAGCCATAAAAATGTTAAGATTTTGCATTAATTTCTTATGCATTTTTATTGTACATATGTGCTGACGGCAAAATGCTCAACACTTCTCTGCTACAGCATCACCAATAACTTCAGAAGCAATCCATAGAATAGCTCTGTGTTTCAAGGTCTGAGAATTTTCTTTCTTTCATGAATTTCTGAATAACTTGAAATAAAGAACCCAAGAAAGCTTTTTCTTGAAAATAAAATAAAAAAAAAAAGGCCCTGCTATGAGAAGATACTGATTGTTAATTTTCCTTACAGTGTTTGTCGGAGAGGGGTATTCAACTGCACCAGTTACCCCTGTCCTGCTGTATGCACTATTTATGGAGATCGACACTATTACACCTTTGATGGACTGGAGTATGATTATGTCAGTGACTGCCAAGCTTACCTGCTAAAGGTAGGAGGATTATTCATTGATTTTCACATGCCAAAGTGAAAGTTTCTGTGACAGAGCAAGTATTTTGAACATCAGGACATGATCTGTAGAAACAAACATTGTGAAAACAGGTGCAGAACAAATGTATCAGAAAGGAAGAATCTGTAAATGACGTTTTGTGCTCAGCCATGTGAAAATGGTACATGGGTGTATCCTCACATATCTATGTGCTCTAGAGAAAAACAGAAAATTATGTTTTCTGTGCTACCTTAACCATATTTTCTTCACAGTGAGCAAAGAAAAACACCATAAAAACTGTTCTAGAACTAGGTGTTATCTATAGATCTATTTAGTAATTATCTATAAACTCTGCTTGGCAGAGGGTTAATGACAACCTCTGAGACTGCTTGGAATCCCTCTTGAATGTGATCTGCATCAGATCTGGAGTGTATGTATATAATAATATCAAACACAATGATTTCATAATTCAGCAATGAAATCCTTCATTGAGATTGTCTGGCAGCTACATGCTAATGTTCCTCATAGCACACATTTACAGTACATTGTTAGCCTTTTTTGTTTAAAAATACCATTACTGACATTTAGAAATATATTCTATTACTAACAACACCATTGTTTATTATCATTGTTGCTATTATTAAGGCTAAGATTCTGTCTTCTAAGTTACAGTAATGTGTTAAGGAGGATATTAATTTTCTGTCAACCCTGACTGTCTAACCTTAAGAAAAAGCATGGTTTCTCAACAAGGACTACTGCAAATAGTTTATTTCATGAACACTTCAGTAGAGTATTCACAGCTGTGAAATAAAATAGATAGGTTCCAGATTTTTTTCTTTGTTAAAAAAAAAAAAAAAAAAAAAGAGAGAGGTTTGGTAAAGATAATATGAATACCTCAGAGCAAACTGCTGGCTTATATCACATTGTCTCATAAAAGAGCTCTTACTCTTAGAGGTATATGAAGCTTTGCACAAACCTTCCTCCTTTAAGATGCAAAAAATACAGGTTACTTTACCTTTAAAATAATCTTGCTTGTATTATATGGTGGAAAGGTGTGTTATCATTTCTTAATTCTTATGCCATCCAGCCAGAGAGGTGTGTAAGACAAATCTATGCTGTTTTTTCAAGCTTTAGTATGATACTGGAATGTTTTGCTTTGATAATCAAATGTCAACTGCCAGTCTACTGCATAACAAAGTACCTATCTGGAAACAAACCATGGGAAGCATTTGGAGTCCAAGAATAAATTTGGCAGCCACATAATTAAGGCATGTGGCACACTGCCAATAGGCCTTTCTTCAGGTGAACATGATGACACAAATGACGAAAATGCTGCCTACGTAGAGCTGCTTTTCAGATGTTTTTCAGTTTTTCAAACTGTTTTTTTCCCCCAAAAGTTAACCAATGTGAGAAAGTATGGCCTAATCGGTTCATCATTTTTCTTTTCTCTTTAGTATATGGAAAATTTTCCTGATCTATATTGAAGGACTATTTATTACAAATTAGGCACTGCATAATTATGTCTGGAAGAGATGATGTATCTGTGGGCTCATTTTTGACTGTGGAATGTTTGGAGAAGTTTTAGAGGAAAAAATGAAAGAAACAAAGGAAGGGATCATATGGCAAATGCCCAAGAGCTTTGGGGGAACTATAACCCAGAACTGATGAACTATGTGATGTACAATCCAGGAACCAGAGGAATGGAAGATGGCACTATAACAAATAATTTGAAAGGACTCCATGGCTGAATTTGGCAGGAACAGACCAGTATGTCTTATTTACATAAGAAGGAACTTAATAGAAATTATAATAAGGAGAAATGATAATTGGGGAAGAGTTGAACTCCTTCTTTTTGTAAAAGAAATTCATGCATGATGAACCTTCTGGGTTATCCCAGTGAAGACAGTAAACCTATGGATGAGGATGATCAAGTCAATATGTGTGTATTTTAGCTTAAAGACCTTTTGGAGACAAATTTCAACATATATTTTTTAGAGACTAGTCTCTCATATGGTGTCATATGGTATGAGTGAGGATTCTTTGAAACATGAATTAAAAGTTAGAAGTTAAAAGATAGGAATAAGTGGACTTTTTTTAGAATGGAGAAATCCCAGTGTCATCCCATAGGTATCCATGCTGAGACCTGTGTTCAGCATCTTCAGAAATTATTTTGAAAAGGCGGTGTGAGGATTGCGGTGGAGTATGCTGATAGTAAAGAATCAGTCTGAACAGCTGAAATAAAGACCACCAGAAGGTTCAGAAGAGCTTATGGGAGAAAACACTGCATGATAAAATGGAGGGTGAAATTCAACAATGAAATATGCAAATCAGTGACCAGAAAAAAATCACTGCAACTATGCTACCATGAAGATAGGCATTAAATTAGCTACTACTATGCAGGAATGGAATTTGTGAGAAGAACATATGAAACAGATTTAATTGGCATCTTCCTAGTGGCAGCCTGAGTGATAATCCAAAGTGTCATCTGTTCTCCAGTTTCACATATGCTTTTATTTGCATGTACACAGTTAAACCACAGCTGTACCACGTACACGTACTCAGTTGTACCACATACTAATGTCGTTAAACTACATTATATATGCAGACATGATAGCATGATGAGGCTGTTCTTTTTTGAAATCTGCTTTGTTGTTCCTAAAGCAGAGGCTTCCACAGCTGTCTCTTCATAATCATCCTCCTCTACAGTTTGGCCATGTGCAGTGACATTTTACTAGCAGTATCAGAGTAATATAATGAGTCTCCCTCTCAGCTACTCTTTGTTCAGATGTGAGAGAAGCTGCCTCTTATAGCCCGTTATCCAAATAAACAAACCATATGAAATGTGGGAAAGTGTATGTAGTTGCAAAAGTTTAAAAGCCTTGCCTAACACATTGGCAGGCACAGCTGTCAGAGCAGTCTTGCCACCTAAACCATGCTACCTGTTCTACAAACAAACAGGGATAACATGTGAAAGGTTCACCAAACACCTGAAATCGAAACAGCTGAAGTGGTTGTAATGTTGTATAGACAACACTGTAATGACTTTGACCTTTCCTTTTTACTAATCTTTTTCCTGTGAGAAGTGAACTGCTTTGCCTCTGCCATCTTTTATATGCTAAACAAAGGTATTGTAGCAGTGCAATAAAGGAAATGATAGCTACAATAAATTTCTTGGCATGCTAATTATTCCCAGACATAGAACTGAGACCAAGAATTCTGATCTGAATCCCATGTCCCTAGTGGCATGATACTGTACTGTTCCCATCCTTTTTACCAGCCCTCACTGTTTGATTTGGCTGTTAGCCTCCCTAAATGTGATCTGTTTGAGCAGCTCTTTAATTTGTCACTGTATTGCACTGTACCATAGAAAGAAGTCATCCTTACCTTTTACTACGTTTTTCATAAGGGGCTTTTGTGCTCTTAGGGGAGAAAAATCAAGTATCAACTTTCAGCCAATTATGAAACTTCAAACTTTGTTTTCAACATCAGGATCATCTGTCAGGCTTTTTTGTTTAAGGTGACAGTAGGTGTATGAAAAAGCCCTTTATAGGTGTATGAAAAGCTGTTCAACAGATATATCCATTGGTCAGAAAATGACCAATAAGTTTTAATGCAGCAATTAAGACAATTAGGGCAGTAATGTCTCATGAAATGATAACTTCTTCTTTTTCAAGGAATTAGGAGGTACATTACATACTGAGAAGTAAAGTCCCTGTATGGATGAATGCTGCTCTAATGTTTTAAAACCTCGTAGTTTCAAAGGAAAAAAAAGAAAAATCTTGGCAGACCAACTCGTTTAACTTTCATCAGTGTAGATCATGTAAACACTTCATTTTAGCTAATCTGAATATTGATGAATTTTAGCCAACTAATTTCTTAATGAAAAAGATTTAAATAGCTTGCTTTCTGTATTTTCTTGCTTATCTTCTGTCATTGATGATGCTACATTCTTTCCCTAACAAAAAGGTGTTAATTTTCTAGCAAACTTTTACTGCATGTTACTTGTACTTGCAGTCTATTTCTTCCACTTGCCTGTTTCATAGACTTCTGCTTTTTATAATACAATTGCTGTCTTTCTATCAAGTCTGTTGGATTTTTTTCTCGTTTTGTGGTAGTTTCCAGTACTGCAGTCCAGTGCATTCTTTATCAAGGCTTGAAGGGTCAGTGCCCTCAGGACCCCTCAGACCTGTTCTCTTCTGAGAAGTAAAATTATATTCTCTCTGATTTCAGGGAGTATCCAAGCAAGAGTTTAGAGGGATAGTCCATCTGTCACAATATCCTTTAATGAGAGGGAGCTCTGTTGTAATGCTTATCTGCCTTTCCAAAAAAACCCGCAAAACAGTCCACTGAAGTATTTTCATTAATTTTAGTACGTTGTCGATGAGGTCCTAAAGCCAAGAAAAGGAAGAACTGTTTCATTTCTGTATCCTGAAAGATGGAAGTCAGCAGAACTAACCCCTCAGCCTCAAGTATTCAGATTTTATGGATTAGCCCTAACTTTAAAGCATGCGATAAAAATGTTTTCACTTCTTTTCACTTGATATTGGGGTTTTGACCATTTTAAAGTCACCTTTTAAATCTTTTTGATGCAACCACGAAAGCTCTTTTAACGCCAATGTTATCACCAGATTTAGTGTGTTAGAGGATTATGAAAGCAACAACCAGACATTTGATCAAATAATTGAACAGTTATGCCAATTAGAAGTTCAGATGTAGCTCTTTTGGGTTGGGAGACACCACATAAAGCCCATTTTTTAAGGCAGATGTTTACTTAACAAAACATGCATGATCTCGTGAACTACAGTATCCCAAATGACTACCCTACTGATGAGCAGTCCCCAGTGTTAGATACCTGGTCTGCCCTTGGGAATACAGCAAGGGAGCTCTTTTCTTGCATGCCTCTTCTTTTGAACCTTGAGGCAAGTTCAAAGCTCTTAGCTTATGATGTTTTTATTAGAATGCTTAATACAGAAGTTGGTTGATACAGTGATAATTCTTTACCC